TTGGGTTGACAATTCATACAATCCTCCAACTACCTATGGTATTCACTGCTATAAGTCATAATCACCTTCAGTGTGAGGTGAGGGGGCATCAATACTACAAGTAAAACGTGATAACAAGGACCAAGGTGTTATTAAATACTAATAGCACCTTATGTTAGTTCATTTCTTACATACTGTACATAATTCTGACAATGGTGCCAACACTCTATGCTGTGGTGGGGAGGTGTAGCATTATCTGACTTTATTTCTTTCACACACACACACACACACACACACACACACACACACACACACACACACACACACTAACCCATCATGATGCAAGGTGTGTTTAGTAAATATAATACTGTACTGTATACTGCACTGTAATGTTTTTGTGTTTACTTGGAACATGTATTGTGGTGACATATTGTCCCTTGAGGAGTACGAGTCATTCTTCCTTTTTTGTTTCCTTCAGATTTATTTAGTCTTCCTTGGGCTTGAAAGGACCAACGAGAACATTCTTAACAGTGGCCAGATTCCAGAGTTTGATGGACAGCATGGCACCCAGGATTGAGCCAGCCCAGTACACGATGATGTGCTCAGTGTTGGTGTGGCCGCGGCAGTTCCACTTGAGGCCAGTTGCCAGCACTGGATTGAAGTAACCGCCTGAGTAGTTGAAAGCTGAAATAAAGAGCCAGTAATTAATGTTCGTAAAGATTCTTACCATCTTACTCAGAATGTTTTTTATTGTACTGTATTTATTTTGTAATTTACTTATTACCCCACGATCAAATCATGAGCCATAGATTCAGAATCAGCATGCTCAAGAGTATGGAATTTAATGGGTTTAACTAATTAATTACTTACATTATAAAAAAGAAACAAAATGCACCTCAGAAACCAATAGTTGGCAAGTAATTAGCACTGAAATAATGTAATTACTGTAAAATCCTCCAAGTGTCATTACAACCACTTATTCAGGGTGTCTACTGGCCAGACAAAACACAATTCTTTGGCTCTTCCAGGTTTTCCTGCTGTAAATTTAAAATATTCCAGGAACATTAATTCGGTATTTATTACGACAATAACAAAATTTGAGGTTTTCAATAATAAGTATATTGTACAGTACAGTACTACAATATTGGAAAATTTAAAGATGATATACAATATGATAATAATTAAGAAATTGAAGACCCTTTCAGGACCCACCCTCAGCCTAGAGATGAATATCGACAAAGACCTCGACCCCCCCCCCCCTCCTCCATATTTTTTCCTTGGATTTGCAAGATTTATGTGGGTCGACCTGAACATTCCAAAAAGGCAGAAAGTGTCAAAAACTGAAAAATCACACTCCTGATCCACCTACATGATTCATGATATATATGTGAAATACTTCAGTTAAAGTCAGTTATTTAAAAAAAAACAATTCATCTGACAATACTGTAGTCACTGCAGAATTAGTAGGTATAACCTGTAATATTTGGTTTTTGATCGCAAACATAAAATATGATTGGTACACAAACAATTCAGTTATTGGAGTGGAATTTGTCCCTAAAAGTTTAATTATTTACCTATCATGTAGTACATCATTAATTTATGGTAAGACTGCTGTGAAAATAGAAATATTTTGAAGTTGAATTGAATTCACATAAAATTTCAGGTTTATTTGTAAAATTCCCAGGCTTTTTCAGCTCCATATAAAATTTCCTGCCTTTCCCAGACCAGTAGACACCCTGATATATTATCATTTTCACCACTTGTCAGTTTACTCGCTGGTTCGTAGGCTGGTCTGTCCTGTGGGATACACATCTATTCTCTTTTAGGATCTTTATTATCCAGTACAGGACCAGAGCAAACCTGCAACATTTGGTACTGGATAACAGTCTTCTCACATCTGCCTAACTTACACTAATCTAACCTAATTTACACTAATCTAACTTATCCTAATGTAACCTAACCTATCCTAAGTTAATATTGTGATGCATATTGTGATACATAACCTGCCCAGTAAGTTACTGTCCATGAATCAGAATGACTCACCCAGCACCACCATGGAGGTTGCAAAGAAGGAGTCAATAGCAGAGGCAAACTTGGGTTCAATTTCACCAAGAGCTCGGGAGATGATTCGGCAGGCACAGGTGAGGACACACTCAATCAGGAAGCCGAAGAACACAGGAACCTGGAGGTCGGCCGAGCAGTCATCAATGCCACGACCTACATGTGTCTGTGCAAACTCCATCATCCAGATGTACTTCACCCATCTGCAGAGTACAGTATATGTTTTATAGGCTATAATAGTGATGCAGACATGTTAACACCACCCAACTGCAGTGTATATGTTAGTGATAAAGAGGTACACACATTAAATGTTTCTCTTGTCTGCATTGCTTCTAAACAATCAGGTATAATGATATAGAATTCCTTGTGTTGGTCCATTCAATAACAAACTGAAACACACTATGGAGAATAAATGCTAGAATAATACTAAGTGTTCAGTATTACAGTACAATTACAATATACTTGTACAGCACAACATTTGGAAAAAAGAATTGTTTGAACACTTAAAAAGTCTCTAAGTTCCATATATCTATGCAATAAAAGCACACTGACACAAACCAACTAGTGATAGCTATGTACCCAAACTCTTCAAAGTTAATATTAATGACAAACGCTGCAGTGTAATTTGTTTTGATGGATCTTTTCTTAACATATTTTCATCGCTGAGTTTGGATATAATGTTCATTACTTGAGCAAATGCTTCGTTTGGTAAATAATTAGGCCCCTATGCTTGAACTAGGAGCAAGTCCTCTGCTCATTGTTTGTTTACGAGCTGCTTGGTTTGAACGGCTTCTCCCATGTACAATGTATCATAGTGAGTTCTTTCTGTTTAATATGCCAGGGGGTCTGGGGGGGCTAGGAAGTTACATAGGTTTCTTACAATGTTTTGGTGGCTTGTTTTTCTTGTCAAATAAAGTTAAGTTAGGTTTACTTAAAAGTAATCCCATTTTAATACATTTCCCCAAACTTTGACAGTGCCCTCTTCCAGTATGGGGATACAAATTTGTTCAATAAATCTTACAGTGTTCAGTGGATCAAAGGTACAGAAGCCTCAAATAATGGAAGGAACTAGGACAGACAAGTGTAAAAAGAAAAAATAGTGTATGAGACGTTTTTCCTGAGTGCCAAAGCCATATATAAAAAAACACACACACACACACACACACACAAGATATACAAAGAAAATCGTTAACCACTACAAAGACTCAAAACACTTTACATGACTCAACACTTCAGAGATGACATCAACACCTGTACTCACCTGAATGATGCCAGACCACCTATAACTTGGCAGATAATCTTGAGCACCACTTCGAGAGGATGAGCACCCACCTCCACGTACTCCTCCAGCAGGCTGTAGGGGCAGGCAGTGGCTGTACCCCACGACTGTCCCCACCAGATGGTCATTAAGAACAGGTAGACAGCATAGGTGTAAACTCCGTAGTTGTCAGCCACTGTTACGAGGAGTAATATTAGACACTGTGTATATTTTCTCACTCTACAGTACAACAGATTTATCACTTCATCACTTATCAGCGTAGCCATTTGTGTGCTCGGTCCGTCATTTGTTACTTTGTTTTGAATTTTATTTGTCTACTCTCTTTCTACAAGCATCTCTCACTTTCTAGAAGCCTACCCCACTTTCTACAAACCTCTCTCACTTTCTACAAGCCTCCCCCACTTTCTACAAGCCTCCCCCACTTTCTACAAGCCTCCCCCACTTTCTACAAGCCTCCCCCACTTTCTACAAGCCTCTGCCACTTTCTACAAGCCTCTGCCACTTTCTACAAGCCTCTGCCACTTTCTACAAGCCTCCCCCACTTTCTACAAACCTCTCTCACTTTCTACAAACCTCTCTCACTTTCTACAAGCCTCCCCCACTTTCTACAAGCCTCTCCCACTTTCTACAAGCCATCACTGGTTTATATATTACTGAAAAAAATTATATAAATGACAAGGTTGACAACAACCATTTTAAGCCAAAAATCATTGTTTAAAAAAATTAAATTTTTTGTTTTAATGCATTACGTTGATATTAAGTTTTAAGTATTTGTCGCCGATTTTATAAATGTTTAATATGCCATTAATCATAAACATTATAGTTAGAATTATTTAGCAATCTTTTATACTCTTTTCCATTTCAAAAATTCAATGTGATAAGACCACATTTGAAAGACACAAGCTTTGATCAGTCTTCCAGACCCACCCTACATGCTTAAAAGTAAAACTAAGTAAAAACTAAGTTCATCTTAATGCCTGGAAAAAACACAAAACTATTGTACTTTTACAGTTGAAACTTTTAAGTAATTCATACAGTTGGAGAGAGAGGGGCAGTGGCAACTTGGCTCCCCTTGACCAGTATAAAACATGATATGGACACATTAGAATCAGAGGCTGAGAGACCAGCCATAGACACCAGCAGTCGGCACTTGGGGTCATACCATGGATTATGATCACATTTCTTACAAAGGTATTACGGTACTTAAGGGATCCTCATTAAAGGTGATTTGACACCTATGGGAATAACGTAATTGACGTTTTATATATAGTAATTGTCATAATGTCCTGACCACTGGGGTTAGTTATCCAGACCCCTTGTGACCTCAACTCTGTAATTCTTTTAGGCTACTGCTCACAGGATAAGTATGGGGTGCACAATAAACTGGCCACTGTAAGTGGCAAAATTAATTAAATTCTAATCATCCGCTACATTTGGTTGTACAGGAGTGCATACTATTGGAAAGCTAGCAGTGGTCACGTCACCTGGCCACTGTGTCAGCAATTATAGCTAACCACAAAAAGTTGGTGGATGTACTTGATACATGTGAGGAAAATGAGTGTGATGCAGCAGTGTGGCAACTGGATTATTGAAACATAAAATGCAGAAAATTCATGTTTACTGCATACCGGGTCAAGGAAATTCTGTCGACACTTGGACCTGTAGATCAGCTTTTACAATCACATGACTGACTTCATGACAAGAATTCACCTTATTGAATCTCTTGTCAGTAGTGTTAAAGACATCTGGAACAACACTGACAATGAGAATATCCCACAAAAACTTGATCATCACGACCTTACAGAATACCATCAGGAAAAGCAAAAGCATAACACAAACTGCCCCAATACTTAGCAGTGACTAATACAACTCTAAGACATTCTAATGTTCATGGTTTTGATGGTGAAGCTGATTTACATCATCAACTGTACTACAATATTTTAGATAACTGCCTTGGTGAACTCAATGCTGAGTTTGGCAAGCATAATATTAGACTACTTACGGTCATTTCTAGTCGTTGGCCAGAATCCAAGAATTGTTTATTACTTCCGGAAAATCTTGTCCCATTGGCTAAACTCATAGGTGTCGACACTGAGTCGTCTCTTCTGGTAAGTGAATGTCATGTTGCTAAGTGACTTCTCGAAGAATTTTATTGCCCAGTTCTCAAAAACATTGGTGAAAATTTCAAGATATCATATCCTTTCTGAAATGGATTAACTCACATACACAAGCTTTATGCAGCTGCCCTCACATTTGGTACAAGCACTGCAATATGTGAACACTCCTTCTCAACTGTCACGTGCTTACACCATATAGGCGTTCAATGACTCATAGTAGAAAAAGTAACCTGGTCTTGACTGTATTTTGGGCAGACCTTACACAGAAATTGAACCTGGAGGAAAAAGCAGGAAAATTAAATTGTATTAAGTTAATTATCACTATCACATATGAGTACAGTACTGTGTATATAGACGTTATTAATGGAAGGAATATTTTCTCATTATTTCTCTGTTGTCAATTTTTTTATAAACATTACCAGTTTTCATTATTGTCTTGTTGGTTATTTGAGAAAAATTAATTTACAATCAGTTGTTCGTTGCTATACTTCAGTTTATATAATTCATTCCTGTCTATGTTATATACTTAAACTATCATTACATATATGTGTGTGTAGTTTAATAATTTATGAGTTCATGTACGTTATACATAAAATGTTGTGAGCTGACTCATTAATTGTCATAAATAACGTTAGTGTTCTGTTGTATAATTGGTTATATTTCCAAATGGTTTCATTATAGAAATTACAACCAATAATGTCATATATGGCAGAGTCGTTAATAAATAATCTTGGCCCTCTTGGTCGTTGAACAGGCCTCCCCACTCGGCTATGAATCTGACAATGGGTCTTGCAGATAATTTACAACTTGATAAACAGCAACGCCAACAAGAAGTCATAACTAGGGAGGGAAAATAAAATATAAGAACATAAGTTTCACTCATTAACCAATACTACTCAGAAGAAATTGTAAATGTATTTTAACTCATATTATGGGATTTGATTCCAAAAATATAATTCTCATAATTTATAATGTGCATAGAATAGGTTTAAGATCCTACCTAACCAAACAAAAAAATAAATAAGGGATTTGTGGAGATAATAGACTCATGAATCTGGATAGTAAAGCGTAAAAGAAAAAAGACAATCAATTTTATATTTATGGTAATAAAACCCCAATACGAGGCTCTGTCATTTATTTACAAGTTAAGTAAGACCGGAATCAGTGTTTATTGGTTTAAGAGTGGACAAAAACACAGGCTGCCACGTCATATTTTGGGGCAGATTGTTTACGGCAAATAGTTATATTCTTTGCGTACAAAGCACGTAGAGACATCATTTCAGTGTCACGCTATAAGTTCTTCATTGTGTTTAACCCCATAATTGCCCTCATCCTTCATGACCTGTCAACTACAAGTGATTTATGTTCGTATTTACAGAAGTGAAAAAACACTGGTACTTATAACTAAATTAAGAAGTTGTGTCAATTTTATTATTTAATATGATATGTCATTTGTTGCCACCCAAAGAATTTTGATAATTTTATGGTTGCAATCAGTAGTTTTGATCATTCTAAAAGACTTTTATTCTATGGCATTTCTGTCACAAATTAAGTACTGTATAAGTGAGATATTTTAGTAGCTGGTTTGTTAACCAATCAGATCTTGGTATAGTGCATGGGTTAGGTTAGGTTGGAATAGGTTAGGTTAGGTTTTCCTAAATTAATTATATACTCTATGCTAATACATACAGTATACACATATACTAATACAAATTAATTACATACACTATACACGCTTGTCCCATAAGTTCGTAGGAAATGTCAAATTTACCCCTAAAATCAAAACTTCTTAATTATAAATTTTGTACCAAAAAATTGCAAACAATAGAATCAAATCTATACAGTATAACATTTTACATCCATCAAGCATAATTACAACTTCCAAATGCTTGAAATTTTACCATTAATACTACATCATTCACAGAACAACTGTGGATAATATGAATCAAATATAAACACAGTACTCTGGTACTAAGTGAATCCACCACCACTACCCAATAATGGCTCAGTACAAGTTATGAAGGTGTTATTTGACTGTGCTGGCTGGGCAAATAACCAAAGGCTATTTGACCGTTAGCTGCGGAGATCGTTTGTGATTTGACTACGATTTTAATGGGATTGTGGACAGGATGGCTGTGGGCATTATTACACTAGTCACTACATAATAATTTAAATGTTAAATGCTTAATCATTATCTCCCTTAATTATCTTCTGATACTCCAAGATGTCCCACTTCTTTCATGGACATATAATGATGTAGGTTGGATTGGGTTAGTTTAGGTGAGATAAACATTTTTTAGTCTATACCTAAACTGTATCATAACCGTTAAACATTGAGCTGTTGGTTTTCTTAATAAATATATTTATAATTTAATCATGTTTTATCTTCCTTATCATTAATTTTACATGTTCCTATCTCTACTGTGTTACAATAGTTTAAAGTTATCAATAAAATAATATGTAGTATTTTCTGTGACCAGAAGAACTTTGTTTTATTTTAGAACCCTTCAAGATATATTATATTTATAATATGTCAGTAAATTGAAGCACATTTATACAGTAAAATCATTCATAAATATATTGAATAATAATTATTCACATAATTCATATACAATAATATGATATATAACTGAGGGTAAAATAGTCATATAAGCCCTGCCTACCACCACACACAGCAAGTCTCTACCTTGTCCTCACAACTATTATAAGGCTCTCTCTCTTACTACACCATAATCCCTGCACACATATCCTTCATATTAATACACAAATGAATCCTGACAAAACAATATTACAGCAATACGAACCAATTTTCCTTAGAATAAATCTTGCTGCTGTGTTTACATGGAGGTGGGTATGACGTCACCCAACACTCCCTGTAACGGCATATAAAAAGCATAATTTTTTACTTAAATTTCATTTTAAACTCACTAAAATGATAAAATTACTCTATCACATTATTACTCTTCTTAAATTGTGTAATTATCCCACTTTGTGTTCTTTACCAGAAATTCCTTAATATCTTTATACAAGGTCTCCCTCAATAAGGGAAGCAAGATATTCCCACACTCATTAAATCAACCGATAAAAATAATGACAACTTAATTACACACCAAAAAACTATGGTTACAATGATATTGGTAATGTCATTATGGTTAAGAATCAGCAAGAAAATAATTAAGTTGTCATATACAATAATATGATATATAACTGAGGGTAAAATAGTCATATTACACACTCTTCCTCCCATCCACACACTCTTCCTCCCATCCACACACTCCTCCTCCCATCCACACACTCCTCCTCCCATCCACACACTCCTCCTCCCATCCACACACTCCTCCTCCCATCCACACACTCTTCCTCCCATCCACACACTCCTCCTCCCATCCACACACTCCTCCTCCCATCCACACACTCCTCCTCCCATCCACACACTCCTCCTCCCATCCACACACTCCTCCTCCCATCCACACACTCCTCCTCCCATCCACACATTCTTCCTCTCATCCACAAACCCTACCTTCTGTCCACAAACCTTTCCTTCCATCCACACACCCTTCTTCCCTTCCAGGGAGGGAGGGTTGTGTGGGTGGGATGGGTAGGGAGGTGAGTTGGTGGGGGGGGAGGTGGTGTAGGAGGAGGGTTGGGTGGGATAGGAGGTGTAGGTGGGAGGGAGGGGGGTGGGTAGGAAGGGAGTTGGGGTGGGAGGGAGTGTTGGGTGGGAGGAAAGGCGTGTGAGAGGGAGATTGTTTGGATGGGAGTGAGGGTGTGTGTGTGGGAGGCCCTCCCATCCAAACACCCTCCTGCCCTTCCTCACACCCTTAGCGTGTGTGGATGGGACTGAGGTTTTATTTCTTTTTCAGATTGTGTGGGTCTCGGAGGTGAACACCTGGTCTGACTGAAGTGAACATCTGGCTGGTCAAGAACTCTACCAAACAGATAAAGTACTTATGACAATATATAATGTCTATATGCAAGTATTTATGAATGTTATGTCAAACTTTTTATATTCCAGATTTGTGTGGCTGACTGTGGACCTACAACAAGGTGCTCCCTGGAGGTAAAAATGGTAGTAAAGGTAAAATTTATCTTGTTAAAGTTGATAGCACTAACAGCACCGTAGTTAGACGTAGAATGCACAGTAGTAACTCCGCCTTGTTCAGCCGAACATGCCGGTCCCAAGCCCGGATAAAGGAGGAGGGCTACTGCAGTGTTGTCCGTTATCACCACCTAATAAACACTACCGCTTTATAATGTAGAATATTTTTTGTCAGCAACGTATTGAAAAAAAAATTAGTGTACTGTGATTTTGTATCTTAGATGTATAATATTTTAGCTTAGAACATAAGAAAATAAGGAGTCTGCAATAGGCCGGTTGGCCTGTGCATGGCAGCTCCTGTCGAGAGTTACTACCACTCTCTATCATCCATGTATCTATCTTGCCTCCTTTTGAAACTTTCCAGAGTTCCCGCACTTACTACAAAGTTGCTAAGCTTGTTCCACTCGTCCACCACCCTATTTGTGAACCAGTTTCTTTCTGTCTCCCTCCTAAACCTAAACTTATCCAACTTGAATCCGTTGCTCCGAGTCCTATCCTGCTCGGATATTATAAGAACTGTATCTATATCCCCTTTATTGATTCCTTTCACCCACTTAAATACTTCTATCATATCTCCCCGCACTCTTCGTCGTCTTTCTAGGGAATGCAAGTTAAGTTTCTTTAACCTATCCTGATATGGAAGGTTTCTAAGTCCCGGAATCATTTTTGTCATTCTTCGCTGCACCGACTCTAGTGAATGTACAGTATATTTTTTATTTTCATATATATATACACTACACATTTATTACAATAAGTCCAAAAGATAATCATACAGGAATAATACACAATATCCCTGGTCATCTAACCTCATTTCATACCTACAGTCTAAGTACAGTATACAGTACTGTATATCAGTTTACTGGCCATGCAGTTAGTCTCATGGTCTTACTTAAACCTTCATTATATAATATTAACACAAGAAAACCAGAGAAAACTTGTAATGATTGGCAACGTCACACTAGGTAGCATCTTTCTCTTAGGTCCAGAGAGAAGCACATATTACCAGTACACCATTATTTCTTCTCCATAGATCGTGACGGAGGTGTCGCATTGTCAGCCGTCATGGATTTCTCAATTTATCGTTTATATTGTGGACTCCACACAAGGTTAGTTTATTTCACTAGACCTTAATGTTTTATAATGCATCTTCCGTCAGGTTTTGGTCCTACGCAAAATTTAGCTTTAGATAATAATGGAAATCTTTACTTTGTGAATAATTTGGGCTTTACGGTACATTATTTCTAAATTTATCCAAGAGAGTCTTTAGTGGGAGGGTACATATTGTATATTACAATTTTACACGATTTGTTGTTTATATTTACAGGTAATACGGACTTCCATTCAACAATTGGTGTGCAGTGTCCAGATTGTCAACATTTTGTAAGTAAAATTCTTACTGTACCATACTTTAATGTACAGTACTGTACTAATATATATATATATATAATACTGTACTTTAAAATTAATGCAATAAAAAATGGTCTTTACGGAAATGGCCGATGAATTTCAAAATGGACAAGACTCCCGTTTTCTAGGAAGGTTGTCAAAATCCTTCGTCCGAGGTGTCCATCTATCTTTAGTTTTTTTATGCCATCTGTTGGTATCTTAGTTTTGATTACGTGGACCCAGTAGGTCATCACATGGTCATTAGTTTGTAACAGTTATACATAGGATTGCATTTGGATGTCAATTAATGATAAGAATACATAGAACTTCATGACAGAACATGATGTATGCATTTAGTTATCCAGCCATCATATAGGCCTGTACTGTATTGGTGATAGTGGAAATCATCATGCTGGTGTATCCAACTTGATCACTTTAGCTTTGATGTTTCAGGTAAAGTTTACAGTACTACTGTTCTTATGGTTTACATGATCATTAAACTTGGGAATATAAAACTTAAAGTTTATTCAATATTTATTTGAATATACAGTATACAGATATTATATTATTGAGTGCCAACCATTAAAAACGCCGCCCCCGGTACGAAATGCTGCCAGAGGCCTCCACATACTGAACAACTATTACATATTACACTTAGTTTTACAAACCATTAAGAGAAATGGATCCGTTTGATTGATGTGTGTACCTCTTGTTCTTCACCTTGTTGATACTTCACCTGTGGACAAAAAGGATATAAAATTGACATTTTTTACAACCACCACAATACTTTGGCTACCATCATAGTTAATAATGCCATACATAATGTATCTACCTATTTTTAATCCATTGTGTGGCTTTAATAGAGGTTTACTTATACATTCTTCAATGCATTACTTAAATTATTTTCTCAAGTTTAGTTAAATTATAAAGAAGAGGCTCCAGTAATACATAACTTTTACGTTACACCAATCTTACAGTAGTGTACAGAACACCAATTGTTCTCTTAGTAAGGTGGTAGTCATCAAGGTGTGGAATGCTGGACAGTAGTGGTCACCTTGCTGCCTGGTTGTCGTGTCTGGTCCATCCATCTTGTACACCAACCACCTGCAATAGAATTTTGAATTTAGATCAATTTTAACCTTCATATATCACTCCAAATATACAACATTTACTCGAGAATTTCTTGGAACCTAATCTTGAATCCTTACTTATATCAATACACTCGAACACCCTCCTGTACCACCTTACATGAGCATCATCTTTCCTCCACACTTATGGTTGCAACAGTCTTCTCATAGGCATCATACCCCACATGCCTTCACAGTACATGCTTTTTTTTGCATTCACCATTGTATCACCACCAGCCATGCAGGAGCGCCCTCCCACTGTACCAGCGCCCTCCCACTGTACGAGCGCCCTCCCACCGTACCAGCGTCCACCCAGCCCTTCACACAAATCGAGTGCCTCGTCTTGAGTCTTACTTCCAGTAGTTTTGGGGGGATTGCCATACTAAGATACAAAATTAACTTAACTGATGAGGCTGAAGTAACATGCTGGGGGATACAACTTGCTCTAGAAATTACTGGTTAGAAAAACACTTAATATAATGCTAAGCCACACTATTTGTTTAAACTGCAAGGTGGATATCATAGGCCTTGCAGCCCAGTGAAAGTTATGGTACGACCTTGCGAGGTAACAACTGTTCAAACTACCGGCCGGCAACTATTTACTTAAATCCACACTTATGTCATAATTAATTATACTAAGCATTATTACTTAACTATATCCAAGGAATAACTATTTTTATTGGTGACTGTGCACATACACGTCCGGGAAAATAAATTACACGTATATAATAGAGACTAGAGGAGCGGGGTCCGTGGGTCTTACCTGCTTGTGTGGGCTGGAACCTGTCGGTGGTGAACGATGATTGAAAAATGGCAGAATTTAGTTAGTCGAGGCCCTATATACGAGGGTTCATAGTGACGTCACTGAAGCTTCATTGAATCATTTTGATGCTTCATTGAAGCAATTGAAGCTTCGAAACACGGGTATGCGTTAAAAATACATTTAAACATCATATTTCTCATCTAATTTCAATTTTAAGTACTTTTAAGGAATAATAAAGCGAAAATAAAGAAGTTAAATAAAAATAATAAAAAATGGAAATGCCGGGTATCGAACTCGCACCACCAGGAGGGGAAGGACAGACTCTTATCCACTAAGCCACGGCGGTTGGTAAAATATACTTAAAAGTTTTAAATTGTCTGATGATTCACGTTCCCGATTGACTCTGAAGTGAAGGATTGAGGAATTTTTCGTTCTTTTAGATTGTCCAATGATTCACGTTCCCTGTTGGTTCTGAGGTGAAGGACTGAGGCAGCTTGTCCACAGTTTATTTAGCCCTCCCCCAAAAAATACATTTTAGCAATTGAGAGCCTCAGGTCTCATAGTTATATCTTGATTTTAATCGAGTTTCCCAAGATTCATGTTTGGTAGTGAGGATCAGTATCTGTCCGAGGCTCGAAACCTTTACGTATTAGCGACATATTCGTACGTAACCGCTGTACTACCAACTTACTTACTCTTATTGAATATAAATGACTGATAGAAACAGCCAGAGAACATGTAGCGTAATGTATGTGGCCATTAGTCAAATTTCTTTGTTAGATGTCAACTTTCTCTTTGTTAGGCTCACATGTACAGTACAGCACATAGAGGAGATCTCACACTCAGGATGGAGGTGAGAAAGGAAACTCGTGATAACGTTATCTTTACATATATTGTATGTACAGTGCAGTAAGAGGCAGGGGAGTTGCTGTGTTGTGGAGGAGCTTCTTGAGAGGTGGTCTTGTCAGCTTGATAGTGTAGCGTTGTAGGGGTATGAGATATTGGTTCACACTCAGGATGGGATGGAGAAAGGAAACTCACAATGTGCTCACTGTATACATATTGTATTGGGTGTACAATGCAGCTTGTCTGGGTAGGTAGCATGGTAATTAGCGTTAAGTAGAGAGAGCTGGGTGGTGAGGGTGCCCAGAGTGAGGGCACGCGGCTTGAGGGACGCCAAGGTCGCTGGCGGGAGCGGGAGCCGCACGGCTGGCGGGGAGGAGGAGGAGGTGTTGCTTGCTGGTGGCACTGGGTAGAAAAGAGGGTGGTCACAGCGGTGTCAGGCCTTATAAGGCGGGGGTAGGCGTGGGTATATAGTTGACCCCCGCTCCGTGGGCGGCGCTGGAGGCATAGGCTGGGGAATTCAAGAAGGTTCGGTGCTTGTAGGGGAGGAATCCACTACAGTGTAGCACCCTCACGGCGAGGCAGGGGAGTTGCTGTGTTGTGGAGGAGCTTCTTGAGAGGTGGTCTTGTCTGCTTGATAGTGTAGTGTAGTCTGTTTAACTACGATTTTCAGAAGTTACAATGTACAGTAGTCAGATGATCAGGCCAAGACTAGCTCTGAAGCAGCTCGCGCGCTGATTAGCTAAAATTTCTTAAGGTGCCGTAAAGTGATAGACGTCTGGAATATGCCTTTGGCGAGAAGCAGCCCACCCCAACACCCTCTACCCGACCGCGCGCGACGTAGCCTGCAGTTTGGCTCAAGTGTACGTTGCCTGTCAATGGAGAAGAAAATGGTTATTCCTAAAATAAAAATACCACGAACATGGCTAGAGAACTATTTCTTTTGACGAAAGCAAATGACCTAAAATAAACTAAAGTAATTATTAAAACAATATAATTGTAGCTTTAATTAGATTAAAATATTTGTTGATTAAATCAAATTACATAAAAAAAAGGGTGTGCTTATCCTGCTTGTTGACTTTTAACATCTTGTTAACTGGATCACCATAGAATATGGGAACGCGAGAGGACACTCTTTGAAATGGGCAACTTACTAGATATTCGTTATCTAAAGTTGAATAATCAACTGACAAAAAAAAAAAAAATCCTGTGTAATACAACACTTCATAGAAAAAATAATTTTATAGGTAAAAGATAATTTATTTGAGCGGTCCTACCCCCACTGAGGCCGGCTCGACACTATACAGAGCCTCAGTATATTTACGGACCCACTAGAAACAAGAGTTCTGCAATAAAATTCTGGGTCCGAGGGATTACCACTTAGCAGAATAGGCACTGACAAAATGACACAATATTATAAATACTCCCATGCATACAATTTAAAGGCATTTATAAGGAAACAAATATTAACAAAGTTTCCCCTCGAGTTTCGGCGATGATGTTTAAAATGGAAGAAAATGATATATACTGTAGATATATATTGGAGGACCTATTTCATTACTGTACCATCTATATATAGATAATTTTATTCGCGGATTTAAAGCTACCATCATAAAAAGGCGAAATATAAAAACAAAAAGGGTGGAATGAGAAATCAAAATTAAAAAAAAATACAGAAAAGACCTAAGTGATATTTTTTTTACTGGGAGGGGGAAACAGATTACGACCAGAAAAAAATAACTTTTAAGTATTGTTAACCTAATCTTTTTTTTGTGTGTGTAGAATTTTGGAACTATGGTATATATGTCACCTAGTAAAGAAAAAGTAAAGTGAGAACAGAATGAATTAAGTAAAACACATTTATCAATCCAGCCACGTTAATTTTAGTCAAGAATGGCCGACTTTAATTCATCACGACCAGATCTTTGTCTATATATGACTAATAAATACTAAAACTTAGATAAAATATTAACTAACTCAATACATATTAAAAACAAATAAAAACAACAATAACAACAACCAGCAGTGACTAGTAAACAATTATGGTGTATTGATGGATGAGTGGAGTGGATGAATTGATGGATGGATTAACGGACGGACGTGTAGATGGATAGATAAATAGATCGATTACTTAGATGGATGGAAAGATTGAAAAATACGAGTGATAATTGCTTACGGGACCCCCAGAGTAACAATAAAACCTCTCATGATAATAATTTTGAACCCCATCGCCATTTCTATCGTCCATGCAGACATAAGTCATCGTTTATGGGTCTCAAGATATTTTTTCCCCCCGTTATATATTCTCGTCATTTAAGTATTTATGTCCATTCCTTGACATGTAATTGAAGTTTATGCAATTTTTGTCATCTATATAAACAATGTATTTTCCTGGGGTTTCGGTAGTAAAATAATAAAGAATCTTATAATAGTATTTAGTTAATTCTTGGATTCTCAAAAGTTCGTACAATCGTCACTACTTCTTATATCTGGGACTAGAGAGAACATGTCATTGGCTATCTTAAGTGACGACGCAAATAACATGATATGTTCTTTTACCTAATATCACAGTGGGGAGATTTACGTACGAATCTTAAGAAAATCCGAACCCAGGGGACTTAAGGTATATATTAAAAGACAAATATACAATGGTACTGTTTTAATTAAGAAGGATGCTGCTGACAAACTGGCTCTACAACTAGGGCGTCGCACACTCCGTCACGTTTGTAGGAGAGGTGGTTGGCAGGTCTGCGCCCGGGAACTGCTATCGTAGAATAGTACAAAAATAGCTTCTCCTGTGTTCCTGGGCGAAGACGCGCAGTTAGCGAATCAGGTGCGCACACAAATATCAAAATAACATTATTATTCTACAGGTCCAGTACGAGTAACACAGGGAAGGTGTGGGAGTATAACCAGGCTAGATGACCGACACAACCAATATAGAAAGCATCAAGTTGCACTCTATTGAAAAGTTTCCTAGCCGAAATGTGAGAATAGTGCCCATTTTCTCTGAACTGGTGCAGGGTAAACTTAAGAAGTTTATCTGGAGGCCGGGTTTGCTGAGCATGGCACTGGAATGACTTCACCTTGGCGCGGTCAGCTCGGCCGTATCACAGACATACACCCAGGGGGCGTCGCTGAGCCGCGCCCTGGAAGATAGATACAATATAACAAGGACCAAGTGGCGGTCTTGATGAGTCTTGTGTCATAGCTCAGCCGCGGAACAGCTCTGTCAACGAGTCTCCACGAACGAGGAGGTCAACACAAAATGGTATGGTAGGACAATTTGTAAGCCGTCTATTATTACAGCTACTCCTTAAATCTAGCCTTAACCTGATCCCCTTGAACCCTCTGACAGCATCTATTCCACTCATACACACATAAGTAAAGATCTGATATGATAAATATTTAGCGTACATGCATGGTCGTGCCTAAAGCTATACAAAAACTTGCTTCTCCATATGTGAAAGTGTCAAATTTCTTCTACAACTCATCAACTGATAATATATTTGCTTTTATCTAAACAACATTTTTACAGAGACACTACATACACTTTACCTCATAGAAAAAGCGAGAAAACTAATCGTCTAAAATCCATTAAAATCGTACAAAAACTGGATTTAAATGTTTGTTTACTTGGGTGCGAGGGCGAGTAGCAAGATGACTCAACTGGTGCTGCAGCTCGCGGGAAGAGGAACTGCTGAGGTAAGTTGAGGTGTTCTGCTGGTGTTGTTGTGGTGGTGACAGCTCTAGTGATGACTATGGAGGAATATTTTGTAGTGATATACTAGTAACCGCCATGTGTCATCACCCACGCCTCACCAAGCTGTGGTGTGTGCGTGTGTGTGTTGTGTGGATTGTTATTGTGAGTCCTTAAGCGCCAATAAGAGTCAGACTGAGACTCTGACCCTCGACCACAGAGAGGAGAGCAATCGAGGGTCTTGTGTTATAGTGGTTATGAATGCGTCGGTGAGGGCCCATAAGAGGCCGACTGGGACAAGGGCCTCGCTCACTGGGAAGGTAGAGACAAGGGTGTCAAGAGCAACGACGCCAGCAGAATATACATATCAAGCTCCTGACTCCCCTCGCCAAGATATGTCATGAGGCAAACCTGAATCCATAAGCTATATTGTGATATACGATATCTGAATATCTTCAAATACACACATAACCAAAAAGGAGGGTTCCAAAGAGGAAGAAACATTCCAGCATATATAAATTGTGCTTAAACATCCATGACCATTGGGAAAGCTAGCAGCAGTTTGTCTCCGCAGCTTACTGAACAACAGCATCTTCATCCCTACTGTGTACTGTTTGGTAGTAACAATATACTTCAAGTGCAGTTGTTGCACCAGCAGTATTTCGTCACTGCGCACTGTACTTATAGCTGTGTGTTCCTACTGCGCAATGTATAGCAGCAGTTTGATCTGGCTGCGCAATATACGGCAGTAGTATGTGTCTGCTGCGCAGTGTACAGCAGCAGTTTGATCTCATTGCACCATGTACAACAGGAGTCAATCCCCATTACTCACTGCAGAGTGTACGGAAGTGTTTCCCTGCTGGGCTGTGTTTTGTTCCCCGGTTAGTAGCGTGTAGTGCGGGGCTGAGGAGGAGGTTTGTCGTGCGAGTGTGTCAACTAGCGTGGTATGGTCGTCTCCTGTCCACTGATCGTGTTTCCTCGAGGTGATCAACGACCAGCTTCAAGGAGGCGGGCATGACTGACTGGCTGACAAGCTCTGGTAGTGTGATGAAGGTCTGCCTACTGTTTTTCCTCAGCCAATCAGTGTCAAGATACCAACTCTAAATTTCCGACCACTTCAAACTACCACGGAAATCTAGCCCAGTGTAAGCAAGTCGGCTACAGTATCACAGAGAATATCATGGTTTGTCTAAATGCCCATTCCCAATATATTGCAGTACATCACAAAGAATAGAGATTTTTACTAAGTGGTCTTGAAACATTGCTCAGTTAAAGCATCTCAGTGGATTGGCTATTCATGATATCATCACATGAAGGTTGTCTCTGGTGATAACAAGCAACATATTTTTTGGGGGGCGCCCTCTCAGTGACTTTTCATCACCCTGGCGCCACCTCATGATGCACTGGTCAAAACATTTGTGACATTTCCATACCCAGCACAGTCTAACTTGGTTCATCCGGCAGTCTGTTCCTCGGAGCTGTACACGTCGGGTCGTGAACTGTAGGATTACTGAGGTATAAGTAAGTCTGGGGTGTTATCTGTCCCCATTACGTCAAGAGAGAGAGAGAGAGGTGGTGGTGAACAGAACAACGCTGCGATCAACCAAGTGAGACTGTAAGACTAGATTGGCGAGGAACTACGGTGGATGTACAAGGGATCGGTACAAAATGTCACAAGCATTTGCTGGGCTTATGTGTGCTGGGTATTGACTTACAAATCCAATTTTCACATACAATGGACATTAAGAAAATCAACTGATACATAATTATAATGATAAATTAACAAGAACATTTAAATAATGAGTCTATAACAGCATGGAAATGAGATCTTTACACATCATACAAGAATATCTTTCCTATGTACGACACCTTTCATAGTAAGTCAACAAAACTAACTTGTGTACAAGTCAACAGGCCGCCCGAGGAGGCCATCTCTTGTTTCTGGCGACTTGGCCATCAGTCAGTGTGGGAGAGGGCCAACGAGTCTCACATCTCACCAACAATATATTTCAGTGTCTCTTTTGAGTTACTGTTTTATTCTGTACAGGAAGATCTTGGCAGTTAAGGTTCTATTACACATACGTATTGTTTACACTCGTTATCTATCTATAATACCTCGGTCACTGGTTACACTTTAGTCTTGATCAGATAACACTAACTCATCATCATCATCATCATCATCATCACCATCATCACGGGGTTTACATGAGCTTCCCACAACACCACAGGTCCAGGTTGTGGCTGTATTACTCCGGAGTATCTTCAGTGGGCTGGCTACTGCGACGGGTGACTTGGGGGAGGAGTAGTGGGTAAAAAATAGGTATGTAGCTGGTAACTTCCCAAACGTATGGTAGTTGACACCCAAGAAGTATGGTAGGTGACACTCCTGGAGTATGGGAGGTGGCACTCCTGGAGTGTGGTAGGTGGCATTCCGGAAGTATGGTAGGTGGCACTCCGGAAGTATGGTAGGTGGCACTCTGGGAGCATGGTAGGTGGCACTCAGATTATGATAAGTGGCACCCCAGGAGTATATAGTAGATGGCACCTCAGAGGTATGGTGGGTGGCACTCTAGGAGTAATGGTAGATGGCACCCTAGGTTCAGATAACACTCGCGTTTATGGTGGGTACACCTTGGGAGTATGGCGGGTACACGTTAGGTTATGGTGGGTAACACTCGGGGTAGGTATGGGGCAGGTGTGTGTGGGGAAGGGGGGGGGAGTCGCAGGCTACACATAGGGAGCGGCGAGCGTGGGTCAACAGGTTACTTGTAGAGCCAAGTGGGCCAGGTCGGGGGCAGCTGTACTACTGCCGGAGGCCCACTTCTGCCCTGGGAATACAAACAAAACAAAATATTAATAATCAGTAACCAAAATGTTGCAGCCAAATAACACACACACACACACACACACACACACACACACACACACACACACACACATACTGTTTATAAATATGGGTCACGTGAAAATTCGACACCCTAATTTATTTTACCTGATGATTAAAACCTAAAGACGAAATAAACTGACGGGGGAGGAGGGCTAATCAGGTGATCCTTTAACACTATAATTCGTGACCAACACAGAGTACATGAACCAAATTAACCCAAATCTATCATCCAATTCTAAAAGATGTTTTGTGTTCATACATTACACTAAATAAAAAAAATCATATTGCTTTTGAAGAATCCTAGTAGATAGGTTACATGTTGATCAAGGGAGAGGTCATTTAGTTTTAGGTTAGCAAGGTCAGAGGTCAAGGAGTGTGACGTGTAATTAATTTTTTGGCAGAGGTTGAGATAAAAGGAGGAACCAAACACTGCTAGGATGTCACTGTGAGTTTTAATTTATTTAAGTATCTATCTATCTACTTGCTGAAAAAACTCAAAATTACTGTAAAAAAAACAACAACTTAACTAAACAAGATTGAAAAACCAAACTAACCAACCAGTAGCCACTTACATACAAGGGAAACATGGATCACGTGCGTGGCAGCGGCATCACCTCTGGCGCGGGAGAGGGACAGGGCGCGGGGTCTGGTGTAGGCTGTTGTTCCCCTCCTGATGGTGAACCTCCTTCTACACCCTCGCCTTCACCACCAGCACCTGCAACAACCATATACTGTTAGAACTTGTTTACGATACACAAACACACAATAACACTACATACACACAATCTCCATAATCTACAGCCTATCACAATCCCATATGTAACATCACAACAATCCTTTGCAAAATCTAAATTAATTTTTCTCATTACTGAATGCTACAATCTCAACTTATATAATTACTTAATAATTATAAGTTATGTAAAATTACGATGCTATCCTTGCTGGCTGTTAAATTAATTACTCAATTACATAACATAATTTACAAGTATGGTCCCTCGTAATGTCTGAGGTTGTCTATATCACATACAGCTATGTAAGATGCGGTATTACATGCACTTATTTCTCTGATACAAATTATTATTATTATTGAGAGATTCTCATTGACGTCTATGTCCACATTGTAAATAAAACCCATCTCTATCTATTAATTAAAACAGTAAATCAGTTGTGACGTCATCAGTGAACAGCTTAACTCTCTCTTTCCTGTACTGAACACGATGGTAGTCAACAACAACAACAACAACAACAACAACAACAACAATCATAATAATAATAATAATAATAATAATAATAATAATGTAAGTATTATTATTATTTATTCGATTACGGTATCATTATTATCATCACCATTATCATTACACACAAAGCACATAGGCCATACTAAACGTGCATGTAAAGATATGTATACACACACACACACACACACACACACACACACACTCACACACACACACACACTAACATACTAATACAAAATCATACGTACTTGTGTTGTGTTACTTGGGGATGGGAGGTAAAGAGTTGTGTGTGTGTGTGTGTGTGTCTCACCTGAGGCTCGTTTGGGCACCGGAAGGGCGTTCTCTCCCTCTCGTTCCCTCTTGAGTCTTGAGTCGGCCATCTTTTCCTCCTCCCTGGCCTGGTGCAGGAGAGCGGCGGCCACGGCGGCTGGTGGCAGGGTGGGAGGCAGGGAAGATGTCAAGGAGGGGGGCAGGGGTAGTGGGGAAGCGGAGGGTGGGGGCAGCGGAGAGGGCAATGTGGAGGGCAAAGGAGAGGCCAGAGAAGACGGAAGTGGGGAGGCCAGCGAGGGTGAGGAGGTGTCGGCGGCTGAGGAACCTGTGCCGTTGGACTTGCAGGAGTCCTGTAGCGGGTCCCGACACCCGTCACGGATCTTGTGGGTCAACATGTGCTGCTTCATATTCCCCTGCAGGGGAGACCCAGAGTTAGCACTAAACGCTACAACCAACACTAACAATATACAACTGTAATATGATTCAAGTCTTAACACTGAAATATATTACAACAGTGTTATGAGCCTCACAGGACGTAGACCTCACCTTAGTAGAGAAGCCGCGGTCACAGATGTTGCACTTGAAGGGACGCTCCTTGGTGTGCGAGCGAATGTGGATCTCAAGTGCTGACTGACAGGCAAACGTCTTGAAGCAGATATGACACGTGGTGTTACCTCGACCTAACGCAGAGAAAAAGACTTGACACTACTCATAAATATAAAGTAATTAAATATGTTAGGTCAATATTGTCAGATTATTGCGTCAAAAGTGATCATGACTGAACATGACTATTGAGGGAGGTGTTATACCTGGCATGCTGGGCAGGTAGAGCGGGTTGAGGCCTGGCATAGTGTGTGTCCCCGGCGTCATGGCAGCCGTCGTCAAGGGCGGCGGGAAAAGGCCGAAGGGTGAGTAGATGTGTGGGTGAGGGCGGGCCGCCAGGTCCAGTGGTAAGGAAGTTCCTCCCTCTTGACTCCCTGTGCTGACCGCTGGGCTGACGGAGCCGCTGATTTGGTGATCTGTTGGGGAGATTTGACTGTCGCCACCAGGGGCGTCGTGTGACCGCTCGCCCAGATCAGAGTAGTCCGACGGCGTAGGGGACACTGATGCTCTGGGTGACGTCATACCGTTGAAGCTGTCCTCTCGTGATCGCATCGTTAAATCCTCTGCTGTTCGCTGTTCGGCACTTCCTGTCGACGAGGACCTAGACGAGGTACTGAAGGGACGAAGGTACTTCTCCTCTTCCGTACTTCTATCTTCATTTTCCATCATCTCTCGGTGCCTCAGAGCCTCAGGAGACAACTGGTACCTCAGGTGCAGAGGGAGGGGCGGAAACCCTTGTAAGGGAGGTGGTGGTAGCGGGAAGCCGGAGGGCAGGAGCTGCGGCAGCGACGTTGGGTTGTGAAGGTGCGGGTAGTCCCGAACCTCTGCTGCAGCGATCTGCTCGGGGCTCAGGTCTGTGGGTTCTCCCGTGTGCTGTCTGATATGTTGCTGCAAGACTAAAGCGTTTGTGTACTTCTTGTGACACACAGGACACTGGTGTAACATTCTCATAGGTGGTTTGGCACGATGAACGCCCATGTGTGTCTTAAGGTTGCCTTTAGTGGTAAAGGCTCGCCCGCAGATTTTGCATTTAAACGGTCTTTCTCCGGTATGTGTTCGGTAGTGCATCTGCAGGGCAGACTTACACGAGAGAACTCTGTGGCAGATGACGCACTGGTTCGGGTCTGTCAGTTTGTTTTCAATATTATTCACTAACTGCTCTAACTTCATGGTTTCACTAGTTTTCTGAACCTCGATCAGGGCTTCCCAGGAATTGTCTGTACTGCCGGGTTTAGGTAAAAGATTTGTGTAAATATGAGGATCTTTGGCAGGGTCAATGCCCGGGGGAACGGAAATGCTTGGAGGGGGGCCCATCGGTCCCGGGAATGAGGTATGAATTCCATGAAGAAAGGGGAAGTTAAGAGGAAGTCTGTGACCTGAGAAAGGAATAGTTGGTAAACCCAGCGGACGAAACTCTGGTCTCATCCTCAGGTCAGTTGGCTGATCTGAGCTGACTGAGCGTGAGTCGCTACTGTCCATGTCATGCTCATCTTTGGTGCTGCCGTTACCGTCATTCGTGTCCTTTAGTTCTCTTTCAGTACGAACTCGGATGTCCAAGGGAGGTTGTTCGGTGCTCAGTTCTCGCTCAGCGCTCGACCTCTCTATAAGATTTCGCATTTCCTGGGAATCAACGAAACGCTCTTTGGACGTCTCCCGCTCGTTGTCAAGTCTACTTTCGTTCTCGAATTTATTTTCACTGTCGAATGTGTTCTCGTCATCAAACCTGTTCTCTTCGTTGAACTTTTTATCCTCGTCAAACCTTTTCTCGTCATTATTAAACCTATTTTCACTGTCGAATCTTTTCTCATCATCGAATCTTTTTTCATCTTCGAATCCTTTTTCATCTTCGAATCTTTTTTCATCATCGAATCTTTTTTCTTCATCGAATCCTTTTTCATCTTCGAATCTTTTTTCATCATCGAATCTTTTTTCATCTTCGAATCTTTTTTCATCTTCGAATCCTTTTTCATCTTCGAATCCTTTTTCATCTTCGAATCCTTTTTCATCTTCGAATCTTTTTACATCATCGAATCTTTTCTCATCGTCAAAATTTTTCTCACTTTCGAATCTTTTCTCATCATCAAACCTCTGGTCGTCGTCGAATCGTTTCTCACCGCTGAACCTTGTTTCACTCGACTCTCTCTCCTCCGACATTTCAACAATATCATTAGGTTCAGAGGCGTCGTCCTTCTCCATCTTCTCATCAAACTTTGGAAGTCGCAAAGATTCGGCCACGTCCATTCTGCTCGACTCCATTTTATCTGTATTAAAATCTTGTGAGAGTGACGGCGGCGGTGACCGAGGCAACTCAGAGAGACTTAAGTTTTCCGGTTCATCATCTCTGCCTTGTCTAGCGAGGTTGAGGAGATTGAAAGGTCTGTGTAGGTCTAGGGACGGGGGCGGGCCTGGTAACCGGTACGGAGGTAGAGAAGGACCTCCTGGCAAGGAGGTGAAAGGATTCGGAGGCCCTGTCGGAGGCGCAGGATAGTCCTTCAGTTCTCCCAGCTGGGCCAGGATTGGTGGATGGAATTTGTCCAGATGTTCGGGAACTGGATGTGGATTCATTTTAACGTGGGGGAACCGACTGGCATGCCGCTGGAAGTGTACCTTAAGGTTTCCTTTAGTCGTAAACCTGTTGCCGCAGATGT